ATGTTGTTCTCGCAGCTGTGGTTGCCTTTCAACCGGGAGTTCTCGCTTTCGTTGCGTGAGAGAAGCAATTGCTTAATGGTCGTTTCGTGCCAACGTTTTGAAAAATCCTTCGAGTGTAACGTAAAAGTGGAAGAACATGAGTTAGTTGTTTAAGAAGATCTAATGGGCAAAGTAATGGGAGCAGCACGACACTAAGGTTTGTGAATCAACCGCATTGATTTCGCAAATTCACCTTATTCCTCCCCCCCCCCCCCCTTTTTTTTTTCTTTCGCGATTTAGACAAAAGACAGTTGTCCGCAATATTTTAATGTTTCATTTAATAAAATAATAATAAAGAAAATTGCTTACGACCTTCTTAAAGTTTGACCCGAGGACAGTGTGAATACATCTCTACACGTTTTCACAGTATGTTTCATATCACGTACTTCCGGCTCGAATTCTCGCCAAAAACCATAAGGGAATTCGCTTAGCCGCGTTACCTGTACAGGCGCGGAGGCATTGTTCGCCAGCCCTCTGCGCTGCGTTGTGATCGACTGAGCCCGTCGACATAAATTTGGCTGGGATTTTAGTTCGCAGATGCGGTCTTTAGTCGGAGCCAAACCGAGCCGGAGCTTTAGAAACGTTGGCGGCCAAAATGGCTCCTGCAGGGGAGAGCGCACGACACGAGGGCGCCCATTATAGAGACCATAGGATCTCTAGCCTAGTGCCAGTAAATAAGCTACGCTTCAGAGTATACGACACTTGGCCATATTGTAGCTTAAAATCATGGTTGCCAGTTATCTGAAGCTTCATCTGAAATCAAAGGAAACGCTTTTCCGTCCACCAGAAATGTTCAAACAGTTCGCGACAAAGCAAAGCAATATTACATGAGCTTCCTAACACTGAATCTAATGCTGAGGAAGTCGCACTTTTGAGTCATGACGATCGGCATTTGCGTCTGCTCTGCACAAGCCCCAAAATGGCGGTGCCAACAGCAACGAATCCCGGAGAAAAGCTCACCGGAGAAAAGCTCACCGGAGAAAAGCTCACCGCAAACCCGGCGGATGCGGAGAAAAGCTCACCGATTTTTTCTTCTTTTCACATGGAGGCTGTTGGATCATGCGTAACATATATTAATTTATTATCATTAAAATTCGACAGCTTTATAAAAAAATGTCCTTTTTTGTATTATTTAAGCTTACTGGATAATATTGCTCCCAAATTAATAATTGCGGGCGAGTGTTTTCTGTGGCTTGCTCTGTAGGCAACGGAAGCCCAACTCAAAAGTTTATGAACTTGAAGAACAGGAAAAACTTGGAATTCCTCTTTGAAGCTTTTATTAACCTTTGAAAACAGGATAGAACGGTCAGTAGGATATTGAGATTTCTTTCTTCCACGGACATGCACGTTTTGTAGCCGTTCGTGCTGGTGTTTCCAGACGTTCCCTTCGATTGATAGTGCCCTTCTACGGCGGCGAGTTACCCATGACCTTCAGAGCTGCACACTGGCACCGTTTGTTACTCGTGACCTATATAAGAAGTAGTCTTCTGTAAGGTAGCGAATAGGGCGAGTTGGTAAACGTCATGCATGATAAAAACCGCTCAAACGACGACGACGGAGTGAAGACAACAAACACGGCAGGACGAATCTGTTCTCGCAACTAAAGTTTTGTTAGTGAACTTAACAGAAAGAAAACAGCGTAGCTGACACTGATTACATCAACAGACACCTACTTATCTATTAGGCACTACACAATATTTGGAACTGAAACGGTTCACACACCGCTTTTCATATTGGCTCGCAAAGAACAAATCTGTTTATTTGACAGAGCTACCGACGGCACACTGCCAGTTTTCAATAAATTGCTGTCTTTTTTTTACCGGTGTACGGTGTTTTGATTTTGTACGTGCGGCTTCATTAATATACAAAATGGGTGATTACTAAATTCTGATGAATTAGTAGGTATGCGCAATTAACTTCAAGAATATTGCAAAAAGTGTACATATTTTTAATGAAGTGACGAATGCGAATTATGTTAAATGGCAACGTTTGACGCAAAATCCGCTAAGTTAAAAAAAAAAAAAAAATCGGTGAGCTTTTCTCCGCATCCGCTCAGAGGCCGGTGAGCTTTTCTCCGCATCTGCCGGTTTTCCGGTGAGCTTTTCTCCGGTGAGCTTTTCTCCGCCGCCCAACAACAACGTCGGGGGACGGAGTGCCGATACTCTAACCGCAGCTCATTTAGTGCTTCTACTCTAGCCTAGTGCCACTAAATAAGCTGCGCTTCAGAGTAACGACAGCTGACCATATTGTGTCTTAAAATCATGGTTGCGGGAAAGCGTTTCCTATAGGAAACGCTTTTCCGCCCTCCACAAATGTTTAAACAGTTCGCGACAGAGCAAAGCAACATTACATGAGCTTCCTAACACCGAATCTAATGCTGAGAAAGTCGCACTTTTGAATCATGACGATCGGCAGTTGCGTCTGCTCTGCATACGAGCCAAAATGCGGCGCGCACAACAATGTCGGGGAACGGAGTGCCAATACTCTAAGCGCAGCTCAAATAGTGGTACTCTAGCCCATTAGGACGCGCGTCACGAGAGGGCTAACGGCTGAGGCCGATTTAGGTTCTGGCATCGCCATTAATGGTTTTTACTGGCCACAGCCGCCACATGCACGACGAAATTACGGTGGGCTAGGAGGGGAGGTGTGACAACCGTTCGCTTCATCCAGTGGGGGAAGATGGCAGGGATGTTCAGCACGCCAAAAAGTGCCGCACAAAGAATATTTTCTTGTTAGCCGTAACGAAATTGGGCACGGAACATTAATTGAGCTCGACGCAATGAATACGGGCTGCAGTGAGGCTATGGTAGGCGGGTCAAGCTCCTCAATGTACCTCCTTCACCTTCTATTCCCAGCAGTGCGGGGTGGCACTGCTATCCACTTATCGATGAAGTCCCTTGATAAAACAAACGCAAACACATTGAGGGGCTTGACTTATCGATTAAAGTTCATGGATGGAGGCGTTTATTACAAGTACCGTCAACCACTGTTGTGGAAACGCGCAGGACACGTGCCACGAGCGGGTGCTCCGCTGCCACTCGCTTCCAAAGGACGCTCATTTCAGTGCTGCATGCGTCGCCGCTCCGCTGCCACTCGCTTCCAAGGGACGCTCATTTCAGTGCTGCATGCGTCGCCATTTGCTTCCAAGGGCCGCTCGAGACACGGGTCTCGCGCGGTGGCGCATTTGACGCTTGTTGAAAGACAAACGCAAACACATCGAGGGGCTTTACTTAACGATGGCTCTTCGCCCCGCTATAGGATGTATTCACTGGACGCCATATTTGTGGGCGATGTTTATAGCGCATGCTCAGAACGAGCTCGCATTAATAGCCTGCTAAGACCGGCAACCTTGATGGTGCTAAATGTACGCTCCAAAAGGACTGCGGAAGCTCGCCGTCAGCACGCGCTCAGCAGCAGCGCACACGGATATGGTCCGCCAGTGAATACTCCCTATAGACCTTTCCAGAAAAGGGCTGCTGGCCGGTTTCATTTTCAGTGTTCGTGCGTATCGCGCGTGATTTGCTCGCTTTGCGAAGCGACGCACACGCGCGTGCTGAGCTGTGGAGATCGCACGCTGAGCTGTGGATTTGTAAACATTGGAAAGGCCTATAACCCATCACAGCTCCGGATGCTGAATCACTGAGTCACTTTCGCAAGCGCGATCGTTACACCTCCGCCTTGTAGCCCACCATAGCCATATTATGGTCCGCCGTAGTCTTCGCAAGGCTTTCATTGTTGCTGATGCACGTTATTTTTTTACAATGAATTCAATATGTGTAACTATTAGTGCGAACACGACATCAGCCCTTCTCTGCAATTCACTCAGACAGAGGAGAGGAGTACTGATGAGCATCGAACTTTAGCAATTAGGTAACTGCCCCGAATGGGGACTTTCTGCCACACGAGTAGTTTTTATGGCGTCCCTTCTGTTTGAAAATACAATTATTGCTAAAAAATAAATAAAAGTGGAGACAGCTTATTTGCGCTAACAGTGTCGCGCTGTGTACAAGGGCCTGTTGGAGCATTATAATTTCACGGCACCGAATGACGCTGTGGGCAGTTTGTCTTTTATTTATACTGAACTCGAAATCTTTCTCCTATTGTATCGCCACCCTTAAATTGTTAACCGATACGTTTCGATTTTTTTGCTTATTCCCGTGTTTTGTAACCTACTGTTAAATACCGCCTTTTAATTGTTGAAAAAAATAAAAATATGAGCCATTCCACTCTGTGAATGTGCATGACCAGCGAAGCTGTTTAGCACAAGATACAGACGTGACACACAATTCTGAACAAAGTTACGAACTATCGCCGCCCCGAGGAGCCGGAGAAAACAGGACACGCGCAACGGGACCGCCACCACGGGAGAGCGGAAGGAAAGGAAACGAGGCGCGCAAGCGGGGGCTTGCAACGACGACAAAGAGAGGGCGGTGCGAGCGTAGACATGGCCGACGCGGGTCGCACAGCGGCACCAGCTTTGAGAAACCTTTATTACTTACCCGAGAGTCTACTGACCTTAAAAATGGTGCCCATTGATAACTAATCCACTGAAAATGCGTATCCACGTGATTAGACGTATAAGCTTTTGCACATGAGGAAGCGATTTTACATCGAATTCCGGACCCGAGTTTTTGTTGACGCACATGGAAAATTCACGGAACCCTAGCTATAAACAGCTTCGCTGTAAAACAGATGCTTTGCGGTCGGATTTTTTTTTTTTCAATTCTGCCGTTGTTGTTATTTGCGGGAGGATGCTTCATTGGATAAGAAGCGCGTTTGGCCGCGGATAGGAGCTGTGGACAGTGTGCTTGTGCAGAAGCTTCGGAAGAGCGAGGCATATGGTCATGTTCCTTTCTGCAACCGCTTTTGTGCGAAACATGAATTTGTAAATAAATATGTCTAGCGTTCCCTGAAATTCGGTGTGCTTGCCGACAACACAAGGAACATAGAGACGAGACGCCTTTTTGTGGTAAATAATCCGTCTATATTTAATAGAAATTCAAGCCTACAGCAATCGTCACAAGGAAAGACAAAGAAAGGAACAGGCTCAAGAGGCCTAACCACGGTGATCACAGCTGCAAGGCCACCTGGGACGTTTTAGTGCTCGGATAAAGACAACCCGTGAGCAACTTTGTCACGTACAAAGCCAGCAGGCGCACGAAGGACCTTCAGGTTAAGAACGCTCTCACCGCTTTCATACTCAAACACGACGACCAAACAGGCGCACCGTGGTAAGGGCCCTTAGAAAGGAGGCGATAGTTTGAGCAAATAAAAAAAGGGCACGAGTTAGCCAGCTTACCTGTATCAAAACCACGCGTACGAACAATGTATCAGACATCCGCTCATATAACCACACTCAATAACTCAGCAAGAGAAAGTGAAGAGTTTCTTCCAAGCACGGCCGAAACTTTAGAGCGCCAAACTCCTTTCACGGTCTTCCGAGGTGTGGTGGGACCGTATACCGGGACATTGTTGCCATTCTGGGGTTTGCAACGTCACTCAAATAAACCTCGGCACTGTACACACAAAAACGATCTGCCATTCGTAATCAAGACGCACTGGAATGTCTTTGATAAGAACGCGGGGCTGTCAACCCGCGCTTCCCCAGGCCACAGAGGGCAGTTTCACGCGTACCAAATAAGCTTGCCAGGCTCCAAGTCATGTAAGGCACACATGCCACCTCACGCGGACCTTGCATGGTACCCACAGTGTGCTTCTTCCACCGTGATGGTACCACAGGCCAAGCGACCACAGCCATGACACTCTCTGTCAAAATGCAAATAAAAACCACGCCAAGTAATTTTTTCTTTCAAAGCGTCCCGACACTAATTTGCTTTGTCCCACACAGCGTACGAATGTCCGGGCACCTCGAGCGTCCAGTTTCGTACCACCTGTAGGCTACACACCAGTGGGAACCGTTCTTTGTCCACTGTCACCACTGAACCCCAACGGTCCTTCTGCACTGGGTGATTCCACCAGACGTCTGTTGCCGGGCGCCATCTGCTGAGGGATGTCGCTCGCTGGGAGAGGTAGAAGAGTTCGTCGGCTCGCCGGGACCGTTGCTGTCGCATACGAGCGCACCGTAGGCTGACTCCGCGCTCTCCGAGTCGAGCGTACGCGCAGTTGGACGGCCGACCAAGGGGTCTCGGCTAGCCCGGCTCAGCTGTCGCCGTTGATGCAGAGCTGGCAGCGGACCAGCCCGCCTTCGTCGCAGTTGCGACACCGCAGGAAGATGATGGAGGAGGAGAACCGGTGCCGGTGTTGCGCGGACTTCTTGCTGCCGCCGCACACGGGACACGGGAGGTACTGGAATCCGCCACACATGGTGCACGTGCCGCCCACGGTAGACTTCTGCAAGGAGGAAGGGAAGACGCGCTCAACTGACTGCGCCTGTCTACGGCTCAAGATGCCCATCCGCGTACCTGCTTTCCTTCTATCCGGGGTTTTCAAACGCAGAGGGACGGCTTATAGACCTTTCAGTGACGCACCAATCTCGACCGTCTAATTGGAAGTAATATAAATGTTTTCGTAGCATGACATACAATTTGAGGGATTTACCTGCCCAAACAAACGAAAGGCACCTGGCCCGCTTCAGCGAAGGACTGAGTATTAATTTCGATAACTCGGGCATCTTTTGATTTGTAGTCAAAACATCGGTTACACAGAGTCTTCATTCGGACTCAGTGAATCCGTAGGTGCGCGCTTTGTCTCAGAGCCGCCGAGCTGGTTATTCAGATCGTCCAAGCATCGAGTTACTTGCATCCACGTATACAAGTATACTGCAGCTAGATCCCTAAGCGATACCGGTAAGAACAGTCCGTTGTGAAAATTCAACACACAAGTCACTAATGAGGACTAAACTAATATATAGTGATGGGTTACAGTATAAGAGCGGCACATACCTTATAAGGCTTGAGCATTTGCCTCAGCTGTCCCGTCTCGTTCAGGCGTTCCACCATCTCGGCGCCCTGTACACAAAACGATATATGAAGGTTACTAATATATTTACGTAAGTATCCGCGCCATTACGGGTTACGCGGCAAGGAATCACGGCAGAGCTTAATGAAACAAATCGAGAACAGAATTGTAAAAAATAAGGTTTCTCTTTCTAAAGTCGAGTTGTGCACTGCATGACACGGTGAGGCTAGTGTCACTATATGAAGCTCTGGGTCAGGCCAGCACGACATATTTATTGTAGTTGGGTGGGCCGTCTGCTCGTTGTGTCTGACGGGAGATCATGCCGCAAGCACAACCCTCGCACCCTCGCAAACTCCATCGTCTGCATGGTCGTCAGACTCTGGCAAGTTTGTTGCCAGATGAAATCTGCCACTACAATAAGGAGTATTCACTGGGCGCCATATTTGTGGGTGATGTCTAAAGCGCATGCTCATAACGAGCCCACGCTAATAGGCTGCTAAGACCAGCAATCTTGAGGGTGCGGAATGCACGTTACAAAAGAACTGTGGAAGCTCGCCATCAGCACGCGCTCAGCAGTCGTGCACACAGCTATGGCCGCCAGTGAATACTTCCTATACACATTCGATGAGTGAATACGCATTTATTTAAAAGAAAACAACGAAGGCAGCCAGCGCTACATCTTCGATGAAAATTTGAGATGGCTACGCTGAGGTGCCGATCTTTCCGACCGTTTCGAGAGCGAGCCTGGGTATGAAACAAAATGAAATGCTGGGCTAGTTGGTGAAACATTATGAACACAAACAGCGCTAAGGACGAGGACTAATAGAGGAAGTGGACAGGACGGACGCTGACTAGCAACTGACGTTTTAATACCCAAGAATAAGAAAGAGGAGAAGGAAAAATGCAAGGGGGAGTAATAAAAAACAAGCAAACGAGGAAGGAGACGAAGGAGCTGCGAATGTGGAATGAAAATTACTATAAATAATAATAAGGTGAAATAAACGTTACTATATTTCATGTGAAAGAAAGGAATAAAAAAGTAAGAAAAGCTTCAAGAATAAACTGGCAAACAGGTTCACACGCGAGTCTCCGACAAGGAAAATTTAACAACTCCTAGATTTGAGGCTCTACTTCCAAAACAGTTACGTATGCTGGTCGTATTATCTTACGTTCAAAGAAAATGTTGCTTATTTATGATCCGGCGTACTCTAAGCTCACCAAAATGAGTATAGTGACAAGTAACTAGCTGTTTGAGCGCTGCATTTAAAAACTCTTGCATCCACTCAGCCAGAGACAGCTTCAACGCACAAGACTCCTCGCCTCAGGGTATCTGGATAAAAGGCACCGACCAGCAGTTGTGCCGCACATCCACAAAATTTCCCACAATCTAAATTAGAGGATGGCTTTCAGGTTTGAGGTGCAAACTTTGCTCGTAGCACCAGATAAGCTTCAAACACATTGCCCAAAAATTAATTCTGAGCAAAGAAAGAAAAGGAATTCATCAAGATTACAAACAAACACGTTAACTGCCTTGGCGGGAGGATTGTTTTGTCAATACGGGTAGATGCCTGATTATGAGGCTGCGAGAGCGAACTCTGTCCGTCAAGTCTTTTCTGGCAGGACGTCTAGCAATACACGTTCGAGACTGTAAATGCACCCCCTTGTTTGCACACACTCAGGTCTTGAAGCGGCTCCACGACAAGCGCTGGAGAGAACTATATGATGTTCAAGTCATTTTTTCCAAAGGAGACGCGTGTGTCAGTGCCCCTTCTGGGACATTATTGGCGAAGGAATTGTTCGATTTGAACCTCTGCTCCTAAAGCTATGTAGATATCAACCTTTCCTATTTTAGTTTTAGTTTTCATTTATGTTGTTTTAACAGTTTGCCAGTTTACTTTTGAAGCTTTTATTTTTTTTTATATTTTGTTCCTTCCTTGTGCATAAAGTTTAGTAACAATTATTGTACCGTATAGTTACGTAGAGTAATTTTAATTCCAAATTTGCAGCTCTTTCGTCTTCTTCCTCGTTTGCTTCCTTTTACATAACGTTGCTTTTATATCTACCCCTTACCTTTTAATAGCTTTTTTATTAACTTTGTTCATTAAAACGTCAGTCGTTAGTCAGCGCCCGTCCTGTCCACTTCTACTAGTACTGGGTATGAAGAATACCGTCCACATACTTGACTTTGGTATTCGAAATGACTGTATAGCAAATTAGTTTGCCAATGCGCTAATGAGATTTACTGATCATTATGACCTGAATAATCGTAACAGTGAAAAAGTAACACTTAATCAGTCTCACCCGAGAACATCAGACAAAAAAGTAACAGAGCCCTACGACCCAGAAGCGGACCATTCACCGGAACGGAAATAATTGACGCGCATGTAAAACAACCAGCGTATAAACCGAAAGAAAGGAACAAGAGGACACCGTGTCACATCACAAACAAATGAGAGGGAAAGGACCGATTTAGAGCCACTAAATTTGCTGCGCTTAGGGTATCGCCACTCCGTTCCCGGACATTGTTGTGGGCACCGCCATTTTGGTACTTGTGGAGAGCAGACGCAACTGTCGATCGTCATGATTCAAAAGTGCGACTTTCTCAGCATTAGATTCGGTCGTGTAATATTGCTTTGATTTGTCGCGAACTGTTTAAACATTTTTGAAGGGCAGAAAAGCGTTTCCTGTGATTTCAGATAAAGCTTCAGATAACTGGCAACCATTATTTTAAGCCACAATATGGCCAAGTGTCGCTACTCTGAAGCGTAGCGTATTTAGTGGCCCTAGACCGATTAAGGCGAAGAAAACTAGTAAACCTTATCCTCGTCCTCAGTTAAATGACAGTCAGTCAGGAAGGTGGCTTCCTCTTTTTTCTTTCGCAATCACACTGCGGTTTTCTTCGCAACTACCAACTTTTTGCGCCTATTTTCTTTTGTTTTCTTTTTGCGTCGATGTAGGGTATGAAGAATCGGCCAGGCGGCTGATCGGCACGAGAAGCACGCCTGACCTTCCCGCCCGACCTCAGGGGCTATTTTCGACACGACCGACTCTACAAACCGACCTGTTCGCGGCGCATCCATACCGTGCACTTGCCCAGTTCTTTCGCAGGAGCGCAAGGAGCGACATGCCGCTGCAATCCCCTTCGTTTTACGCCGCAAAGAACCGCGAGCGCTCTTCAAACGCCAGACATTCGGGCTCCGGCATTGTCGCACAGTGCGAGACGGACCGATTTCCTCGAGGGTGGACCCGGAAACTAACCATAAGTTACATCCTAAGAAAACAAACTTGTCACATCACGAAGTTGGCCGAAGTCGGTAGAAAGAATCTCACAAGGGACCACTTGGAGAAAACACTGGCAGCGGATGATTTTATAATAGCTAGGCTCTCCTGGGTTGCGACGCACCTCTCTTTACGAAACGAATTGGCCGCCCCTTCGAAGCTTCTGAAAACAGTATTCTTTTAATGGCACGCATATGTAGTGGCTTCGGTTAAAGAATTAAGAGTCACAAATAAGACATATTTGAACTCTGTCCTCGTATGTAGTAGATCGCGGCCCTTCTGTCTTGAAGAACCAGTTTTTCACCGAGCCTGACTTTAGCGTTCTGAAGGGCCCATGCATTTTCCCTCGCCATCCCTGCCCTGCTGAAGAACCCAAGATGGTCCCCAATATGCGTCAAAAACCAAAACACGAATTTGATTTAGGATGATGGAGCCGGAAATTGTTCATCACCAAATACCCTTAAATCGATCACTCAACGTTCGTTCCTATACGGCTCAAAACGTTTCCGTCATAAGAATAACGGAAACTTGCGGACAATCGAGCTCAAAATACACAGAACCCATATTTCTTCCAACGTTCCCCAGCCGTAGCAGGGTTGAGTGGATTCACATCCAAAAGCGATAGTGCAAGTAATCGCCATTCGAAACGTTCTATAAAATAGCGAACATTACACGCCAAAAGTAGGAAGCTATGCCGCCCACCGGAACAAAGGCAACGAACGATTCTGAAAAAAAAAAAAAAAAATAATATTAAAGGCTTTTTTTTTTTTTATGTTGTCTGCTCTCGCAGCGGACCGACCGTTTCGTTGTTGGTGGAGTTCTTCACCTGCTCACACTGAAGCGCGCACCTTGGGAAAAACGGCTACGTTTGTCCTTTTTTCTTTCCGTTCGTTTCCGAGATTTTTTTAGCCCTACTTCAGCCGACTCGTTACATTTTTCCGTTCTTCGACCGCCCTCCTCGCCTAACTTGCTCACACACAATAGAAGCCGACTTCCTGACTTCAAAACGTCAGAACGCCCACGATTTTTTTGTTCGGTTCGCTGGAATGGAGGAAAGAATGAAGGGAGATAAAACGACTGATAAGAGGCAAACGACTTGGAAGAATGCAGTAAAGCGTGCCGGCGTTATTACGATACGACTTGGGTGACGAGACACGCCGCCTATAGATGACGATAATCTACATTGCTTATAAAATCGATATAAACCCTAGCCCTTAGCAAGGTATAGCATCAAGATGTGAACGGAAGTTGGCGACCTGAAATGTAAAACGTCGTATATGTATTACTGACCGGCGTCTCTCGGTGTCGCTAAGAATGCTGTGCTCATTCACCATTTCGATCGTGTCTTACTCCCGGTAGCCAAAACAAGATGTAAAATGTCCAACAACTCGACTTCAAATGTAAGGGTATATCTTCGAAATTAAGTAGTTCGCTTGCGATTTCATTGTAGTGTGAATAAAATTGCCCCAACTTGTTTTATTCCTTAATTCACATGATGGATTCAACATGGACATTTCCGGAGTCTATGCACTGTATTCAGATCTAGACACCCACATATGGACCACATATGGCTAGATGGGACACGATACATAGAAGTATAGACCCTGTGATAACCAAAAATACTGATAAACAAAAGAGTAGAAGTAAGTATCATTAGAGAAAACATCACGGTTGAACCTGCACAAGTAATCTGGTGATTTAAAGGGAGGAAAACAAGAATGTGCGCACTATTTTGGGGACTCTTTAACGGAGTCCTAGGCTCAAGCACATTCTGCGTGAAATTTATAACTAGTGATATCGCTAACACGCCCAGCCAGCCGGTCTGTCTGTTGTCGTGTTTGCCAAGTCCACAACAGCCAGATCTGGTGTGGGCACCGGGGGTCAGCTTTGCGCTGACCGTCGCTCCTCGCGGACGGTCGAGCCGGCTCAACAACCCATGACGGGTCAGCGAGTCCTCCTCGTCGGGCAACTTGTCCCACCTCCGTGCTTACACGCTGCACCTCACAGTCCCACTTTCTCGCAACGTAGAAAGAAGGGCTTAGTAGTCGCGGGTGCACGAGGCTCCAAGTCCCCTTATACTTCAAATAACAATTTTAAAAAGTAGAAAGAGCGGTGAAAATGAAAGCGTAACAAGTAAAGATAATAGCGGACGAGTGCAGGTTGTCTATCATTTCAATTTTTTACGCCGACGTGTTCGTTGAAGAGGTTCTGAGAGAAAGGGACAGTGACAGCGAAAGCTGCATTCTTACTCCAGGGCCGTCTAGATAGACACGATCGGGCCCGGTACCGGCACAGCTGTGTTGACTAGAAATAAATATTCAGCCATCCCGAGACCAAGTTTATTATGTAACGTAATCTTTCAGTCTCAGCCAAAGCACATCACACTGGTAGACACAAGGTATTAAGAGTGGGTTGGTGAAAATACAAGAATCAAAGAAAGAAGAAAACTCTTAGGGACAAGGACAGTTGAAAGAACTGTGATGTCTGCCCTTGTCCCTAAGTGGTGTTTATTCACACAAACAGACCACCTATGCCGTCGTTGACCCTTATTTTCGTTTCAAGCTTGTTTCTAAGGAGCTCGAACTGAACCTCATCTTAAGTTCTTGTTTAAGAGTCTAAAATGGACCAATCACTGTCTGAGCAATATGTGTAGAACAACAAATGGTGCGGGGTTACAATACGGGACCAGAAAAAGGAAGCTGGAGAGGATGGAATACTCTTACTTTGCTGCCGCTATTACTATGTCGCTGAGGCATAATCTCAAGGAACACGTACGAATCTGATCGGTGTCTTTCGACGAGCGGTGTAACCGTTCGTCCCTGGGTAAATATGTAGCTGAAGATGGGTTATGTGAGACCATAAACGGTTTAGCGCGACAAGGCAAAAAACAATACCGGTTCTAGGCTTTATGAATCCAAGTTGCTGATTTTCAGCGGCAGTTAGCCGGAGAAAAAAAATCAGTTCGTGGCCTCTAAATAGCAACACCTCTGCTTTGGATGACTATGCGGGTAGAAATTGAGGGAGACGAGGAGACCAGAGAGCCGAGCTCTGACTGGAAGGTTTAGTGGCTAAACGCAAAGCCTTCGCGTATCGACTCATTGTTTGCACGCGAACTCCAAAAGCCGGACGCCAGCGTCCAAACAGCGAGTCCAGACCAAGGCAGCCAGCTTTGCGTCTAGCCACTAATCCTTTCGGTCAGAGCTCGGCTCTCTGACCTCCTCGTCTCCCTCAAGCTCTACCCGCAATACAAGTTGAGGGATGGACAAGCACCAATACTGAGGAATGCTCCGTCGTGCGCACTACTGAGCAGCGTATAGATGCTGCTTTCAATTCTTCACAGTGTTGAGGGGTGTGTCATGCCTAAAGCCGCGGCCACACTGGTCACACAAGAGACCAGTAACGTCACAAAGGGGGGGAGGGGGCGGACCGCCCCGGGTGCAGCGCTCAGGGGGGCGTCGCGGCGGGCAACGGGGGGGGGGGGGGGGGGGGGGCGGAGGAGTCGTGGCGGGCTACCGCCCCGGTTGCTGCTGACCCTCGTGACGCCACTCCAAGAGACAGCCTGCAGACTTTGTTTTAGACGTGTCTCTCCCCTGCATGACGGTCACATTGGTCCTACAGAAACTGTCGGCAGACATCTTTGACATAAGTAGGAAGCAAACATGATCCCAACTTGCGTGAGCCGTGTCCGCGGTGAATTCTGCCACCGTGTTTGCAGCCGCGTCTTTTGCACGACGTGCATGTGGGCAGTGAGGACTGCGGCCCAAAACGAGGAGCTGGGCATCCTTACCCCGAGGTGCTGTCCCTCGACGAAGAGCTGGGGCACGACGACGTGGGCGAGTCCCATCCGGTCCATGACCTCCTTCTGGTGGGTCCTGTTCATGAAGACGTCTCGCTCCTCAAAGCGGATGAGCAGCGTCTGTAGGGTGTTCTTCACGCGGCGGCACTGCTCCCACGTCTTGCGGATCACGCCCATCGACGTCGTGTACAGCACCACGCGGCCCTCTTCCTCCCGGCTGTAGTTGCGCTGCACAGGACACAACGACCAAGGACATCGTAAGCACAAGGCACGCGAGGTTCCGAAACACTCTGCTAATGCTTCAGAACCTTCAACCTTCCACCAACGCGTATAGTTTCGTTTTGAGATGCGAGGTGGAAGCCCACAAAAACTGCTCTCTGCAAGTGGGCAGTGGCCACAGCCGGTGTGGGCATACTCTGACTTGGTTGTAAACAGCATATTGGGACTCTACAGCTAGAGACAGAAGATATACAAAGAAAACGTCTTCACCAAAGTTCAAAATCGGAATAAGCGCTGGGACTTCCGTGTAGCTCTAACTAGAGCAGAACGAACGGCACATCTACGGTAACCACTGCCCGGCAGAATTCGCAGCGAAGCTTCGTCAAAACCGCGCATCCCGGAAATGTCTTCTCACGCGAAAATTACCGAAAGGCCCAGAAACGTCAGCAACAGACGACACGACCGGCTGAACTCCCGTGATGGAAGCATGCTCGTGCAACCCCAGAATATGCCTCCTTCCCTTTTTGATGCATTCTGAACATTGGATTGCGAAGGTAGATGAACTTTGTAGGAACAAAGCACTGTAAACGTCAGCTTAACAAAGCCACAAATCATACGACGCGTCGAAGACCGCCAAACCGTGTCACGCACGTCATCCCAGCGGGAGAAGCCACGACTGGGCGGTACCGAAGGAAGAAGTGCTGACAGATAAATGGCAGACAATGCCTAGCTTCCGCAAATTCAGCTTCCGGCTCCACGCGACCGGAACAAATCCACCGACAGAGATCGGTGGCGAGGGTTCGCTTTTCCCCGTGCGTGTTTGTCGGCCGGTTTTAATCGAACCATCCAATGCCCGCAGGACAAGACACTTCGAACGAACAGTTGGAATGTAGACAGCGCTACCGTATCAACGTTGACTCGGATTAAGCGTGTCGCCCGCTTTTGTTTTCGCGGCCGCCATGACAACTATCGAAGACCGGAACCTGCAATAAGGTCACTGCTCCAGATCTCCTCACGCATTAGCTGACCATTTCTGTAATATCATTTGAGCCAAACAATAAAAAAATAAATAAAAAAGACGTGCGATTATTGATAAGACCGTAGAATTGCAATAGGTTCAGAAAAAGTTAACCAGAGAGCCAAAAACTTGTCGTACGCAACTTCTCGGGAAGACAAAAAATCGACAATAATGCCATGGTAAGGTAGAGATTTAAGCTAAAAAAATGCATAGGGCTAAATTTGAAGATGTAGGTATACAATGTGCGGAATACGTACTGAAAAGAGGGAAACAATTAAAGGTGTGATTCTAAACACATAAGGAGCGTAGTTATGCCTTTCCCGAAGGGGCAACAGGCGTACCGGGGGCCCTCGATTTCGCTAGGCATGATGGGAGCGTGGGTTATTTTAACAAATAGGCAAGACATATGAGGTTAGAGTGCTGGTATAAACTGTGTAGAGAAAATTAAACGAAGTACCTTTAACTAGCACGGCCGTAGGACAGGCGGCAAAGGGGAAAATTGGGACTACCTCCCGCGTGACTCCGGCCCGAGGTGTCAACCCTGTAACCCAGTGTGGTGTTGAAGTGACGCGTAGTGGCGCCGACAAGGTTCAAGCGGAGGAAAATTGGCGACTTCCTTGTCAGGGGGAGTGCCTTTTTGTTCGATCTTCCGAACGTCTTTCTGGCGATAGCTATGAAATTCATTGGCTTAGTAAAGAGCGAGGGGGGGGTGGGAGTTTTGTGCTTTTGTTTATTTTTAGACTAGGTGGCGCAAGGTAGCACCCATTGAAAATAGCACAGTCGTTAATATTCACCCATCTATCCATCCAGGATCCGCAGAGGGCACATGTCGTGAAAAATTACTAAAAATTAACCTTTCGCTCGCTCACAATATAAATTAGGGTTAGGAAGATAAATTAATAAAAAAAATATTAGGCCTTTATCAGTACCGCCTGGGAAGGCAAACCCGATTTAAAGCACATTTGAAATGAACAAAAATAGGGTGGCAAGTACACCAAATGCAATTTTTGAAAATTAAATACCAATTGAGGGGAAGAAGAAAACTCGAAGATATAGGGCGGCAGAAAGGCCGAACCAGGGATAAACCGCAACAGTGCAACCGGAGTGACCTGCCAATAGAACTGCCAACCGCGACCTGAGTCACTCCTCACGAGCCATCGAAGCCCGATGGCCCGAGTGGACGATGCATAGATCATTGGCCCGCACTTAATGAGTCACTGCGCGGACGTCACGGTCTGCGTTTCAGCTGGTCGGCAGCGTCTCAAAAGCCGATGCCCCTCCGTCGCCGAAATAATCCGGGCGAAGTCAAAGCCCCAGGATAGCGCAGCGGTACTCTCTGGGGACGTCGTGCTCACGCGGATGAAGCCCCGCGGGCGGGCGGTCACGACAAACACTTTCTCCCGCCCGCGCGTGAGAGGCGCTTCTGCAGCGGCTATTCTTACCGCCCGGGCTGCGTTATGCCGGCGGAGGCCCTCCGAGCGTGAAAAGAGCCAGGCCCATTTCGTCGGTGCGAAACGGTCGCCTTAGGGTTAGCGACGGTTCCTCAAAGAGACGCCCGAAGCTACTCGGGTGCGCGCCCGACGATGGACTATTGTGTCACTTCCTTCCACGGGGCACCCCTTTGTGCTGCTGGAAGTGTTCCGTTCACTCACGAATCAAATAGTTTCCATCTAGGACCTCAAACGGAAGGAAAAGCCCCTAAATAAGGGACGTCTAGGGATTGACTTATGAGCGTCCTCATTTCGTTGCTATGCGGAGCGCAAGTTCGTCTGCTTCTTTTGCAGGGGTTGTGGTGACGTCAGAACGCCAGGCTCTGATTGGTTTTGATTGAAGGATAGTAGGTAGACCTCAAAGCAAGCTACCTTGAGGTCTACCTACAATCCTTTAATCAGAGTCAATCAGAGCTCGGCGCTCTGACATCACCACAACCCTTGCAAAAGAAGCAGACGAACTTGCACTCCGCTTAGTTCACGATTTGAAAATGCCGCTTCCCCGAGTGTTAGGAAGCTCAGGTCTAAACTTTTTGACTCTGACTGATTTTAACATTCCTGGAGGAGGGAAAAGTATCTTTAGCAACATGAAGTGAAGAACGTGCCGGTAGGCTATAGACCCCCTTCGACCCCACTCTGTTGGAAGCTGTGGAATCCCTGCGCAATGGTGGACTAAAACCGCAACGTCACGGCACACTTTATGCGTTTCGTTGGAGCAGAAAAGAAAAAAAAAAAACACCCACAGAAAAAGGTGATAAGCGCAGTGACGTCCCGCTCTCGACGCTGTTTTCTTTGCTCGACGGCTCCTGGCGTTGGCCGCTTTCTGACGTTCGCTATCTTATGGAATGACTTGCCCGTTGTACGATGTCAGTTGTTTAGCCATTCTGAAGGGGATCCGACGTTCTAATAATCGGCGCGCGAATTTCGAAAGGGGTCTATTGAGTGGCTCTATAAGTCCGCACACAGCAAAAGGCGGGCAATGTGAGAGGACTCCTCGCGTCGTCGACGAATTCTGCGATGGAACGTTCATAAGGAGACGCGAACATCTGTCTCTCAAGAACGACGTATGGAGATCAAACTCTCGCTGGCACGACATTAGAGCAATTAACGCGGTTATTCGTGATACAGTATATCGAGGGCAACCCAGAAACTAAGGGGACACAGATTAACACCTCCATGGATGCCTCAGAACGACAGCAAACGTTTAACACCTCCATGGACGCCTCAGAACGACAGCAAACGTTTTGCAAGATACTAAAAGCGGCTTCTGCAAAACATCCGCCATTGTTTTGAAACTTTCCACGGGATATTTTTTCTTTCAACTACCCTTGCGTCGCACGGCTGTCTCTCCAGGACCTTACGGCATCCTGGAAAGACAGGCGTGGCGTTCTTAAGCGACTCGGTCAAAAGTCACCCATTGTCCCGCGGCCACGCCTGAACTTGCCCCGAAAAGCAGACGGCGTCCAAATGAGATGAGCGTGCGAGAGACCTACCCTGCTTAACCGAGCGAAAATTGGGGCTTGTCTTGGCTGCCACGCGGTGCGTCCGGGAGCAGGAAAAAGCGCGCCCGCCACGCCGTCGAGAATTTCACGTGACTGCGTCGAATACTGAACATACGCATCGATTAAACACCCTTTCTTATTAGCGCCAATCACCGCACAAGTTACGTGCAGCGCTAGGGCGAGTACAAACGCCAGAAAAGCGTCGTCTGAAAGAGCTCGCTGCTATGCCACCTGCAGCGCTGCTGCGCGGTACTTTCGGCAAAAATATGCCATTGTGGGAACCAGGCAAGATCGTAATGATATCGAGCAGTAAGCGGCGAATACACGCTTGCTTCAGCAGGACGCGTGGATAAGGAACAGGTACTGCTGGAACTGAGGGCAGTTAAAGCATTATTAATCAGGCTGGATTACAATAATCGAATAATTGCGTAAATCGACCAAACCGCTAGCGATTGACCGGTCAGCCTAGCGGGGAACTGGTCGACGCAATAAAAGACGTGTGCACCAAGTTCCATTTTCAAAATTTTCCCAAGTAAACCAGCAGAAACAAAAAAATAAATGGATATGAAAAAATACATGTTTTGTTGATTGGCTTACAGCGCAAGAAATTAACAATCTTAAGGAGGGTTCACAAACACAGCCCAACGCCGAATCGGCGACGAAAAACTGCGCTGATGCAGCCCTGATTTGCACGCTGCTAATCGCTTGGATTCCGTTTTTTCGGAGTTTATTTTCGTGCACATCGGAGGGTGTTTTTTCGGAGTTTATTTTTTTGTCTTTTATTTTGAGTTTTTCCGAGTTTATTTGTTAGACTCCCAATTTTCCGAATTTCAGTATAATGTTGCTGCGTTCTCAATTAATAATAAATAAAAATATGTCCTTACATAAAAGTGGACCAAGTTCATTAGTACTCGCTTATATCAAATAATATATCTCCAATTGGATTCGGCGTTGGCACCCCTCCCATTGGTATGACTCATTGTCCTAAATAAAACTTAA